ACCATCACACACCCCCAGACCATCACATACCCCCCCAGACCATCACAAGACCAACCTGAGTTCAAGGCACAAGATATTCTAAATATACTCCCAAAAAAGCATTCCTTTGTCACTGTTCACCCTGTTACATGTGACCGGTCTTGTGATCGTCTATTGATGGCCTTGATGACATCACTGTCAACTTACTGTGACAATCTGGCTGGATTGGTTCCCGTCGTAGTGCAGAAACCACCCCGGCCGTCCTTGCCGTCATCTGCTGCCATCACGGAAGAAGTAGAGCCCTGAGTCGATGGCTGGATGGACTGGGCTTCCGTCGACGGTGCTCGGTCAGATTGACCGGTCTGCAAGAAGAGGAACCGCTTGATGGTGTTGTTGGAATCTGGTTTCTGGAAGAATTCAATAAGACAAGACACCAAGGGTTGAAATGTATGGTTGACCCAGTGAGCCTTAACTTTTACAAACATGCTGTGATTAAAAACTTGTTTGTAAGAGCAAAACTGGAAGAGTAAACTCCCAAGATTATAGCGATTTCTTCATGGATGTAGATGCTGTCGCCAAGGAATACTCTGACATACAATCAAAACCTAGATGTTGTGCTTTTGAATATAATTATTCAAGTAGTGCTCCTTTTTTTACATTTTCCAAAACCCTCTTTTGAACTCCAATAACAAGACATGCCAGAGCTCTCTTAAATTTACACTAAGAAAGAACAGACATAGAGGAAAGAAGGCGGCTGTGTTGACGAATGAGCAGTGCCACCTTTTCTTGTACCTGTGATTTTGAAGCACTCTGTTTCTTGGCGCCCCTCGTCAGCTTTGCCCAGTTTGGTTTGCTCACCCCTCCAGGATGGAATGAAGGCTCCTTCTTTATACAGGGGGCTGTGCTGGGCTGGGATGTGGCACTAGGCCCAGCAGGGTGGTGGCCATCAGCAGTCCTGGCTTGGGTTTGTGGGGGGGCGGCCGGTGGATTGGCATCCTGAGGGGACGGAGTTGGCTGCATCGGACATGTCACACGGAAGCTGCTCCACGTGTTGACTGAGTCCGTTTGGTTGGAAGAGGACAGTGAGCTCGGCTGAACCTGTGCACAAATTTGATATCCAGTTTGTTAACATCCTGAAGAAAAACAACATTTTCAATGTAATACTCTTAAAATAACACCGTTGTACCAAATAAGGCAATTTTACGCAGGAGCTATAGGGACATAATTCCACCCCCCCTCCAAAAAAAGAGAAAAATACAAACAACCCTACTTAGAATTTTGTTACAATTTACATTTTAAAACTAGAAACCTGAAAAAAAGTCCAGAAAACCTCAGCAGAAAATACTTTTTCACAATTTGGCGAGTTAAACATCATCTAAGAACAGGTGAGATCCAAAACGCACTCTTTAAGTTATTAACCTTATCTTACCAATTGCAATGAAAGCACCGGCTGTATTACAACCCTCACCTGTCTCTTCTGTGCCTTCCTCTTGCCAGGGCTTGGATTCTGCTGCTCTGAGCTGGCACCAGCAGCAGTACCAGCACCGGAGCCGCCGGCCTGGCTGGACAGTCGCTGCAGCTGCAGCTGCTGCTGCCAACGTTGGCGCTGCAGCCGATCCACCTCCTGCTGCAGGGCCTGGCATATGGCTTCCAAGCCCTCCTCGTGGCAAGCTTCCAGTTTGCTGCGCAGTCTGGAACAAGATTGGAGATATCCAATGGTACTGCAGCTCTTGATAGAAAATGGGATTTTGGGGGGGGGGAAGCTTGAGTGAATGTTGACAGTTAGATAGTAAATCAGCAGTGCTGCTTAGAGGTATTTGATAAAATATTGTATCACAGTGACTTTTAAATTCAATCTTTCGTTCTGCCCTTTCACTCTGCCAAATTCCTTCAGAAGTAACCGATCATAGTACCCACTCATGGGTAGCTGACCCCAGGGGACTTAGTGCTCAAGTGGTATGGATATATGGACTATTAAGCACGAGGTCGTGGGCTAGAGTCCCACCCAAAAAAGCTAGGGGATTTTGTCTCCTGTGCTCTAGGACATCCAAGAGTCTGCAATGCTCATGACACATTTTAGTGGAAAGGAATGAAATGCATGACAACCCTTGACCAAAGCCTCCCATAGATTGTCTCTGACTGAATTCTAATAGTGTAGTATATCTCCTCGGACCTGTCTCAATTCCCAAGGGAAAAGTGGCAAAAAGTCAAGAGAACTATGCAAGCATTGCAGGTATTGTTGGGAGCTGTAAGGTGACACCACTGTTTACTGACCTTAAGAACTCAGGATCATTTTGAGGGAGAGTCGCAACTTCACTTTTAACTCTTTCAAGTTTCTTTGTAATAGACTGTTTTTGATCCAATTGCTCATGCAATCCTAACACAAAGAACAAACAGACAAGTTCCTAGAAATTTTCGCAGTTAAGAATATCAGATTGAAATGCTCACCTGTAGCCAATTTCAAATCTGCCGTTTAAATAATGAATCCAAATACATTTTTGGAAATTCATACGGGTCAAGTTAAGAAATGTTCTTGAGACTTGTTTGGCAAGATCCAGTCATGGATGATTTCACTTTTCCCCACCTTGTAAGGTGTCTTGGAGATGATGTACTTCTGATTCCAGTTTCTTCTTTTCTTCATTGAGTTTCCTCAGTGCAGCTTTGGTGTTACGGTACTCAGACACTTCTGGATGCATTATTTCTAATCAATATTACATCTCAACTTCTAAAATCAATTAGGATGGTGATGTGTCTCTGGAGTCTTCCCTTCATCTTTAAGACCGGAGTTTAAATTCTAGTGGTGGTTGACACCGGGTCCAAGATTCCCAGTTTTTGGTATGTGTCTGTATCTCTCTCAAATCATCCAAGTACGTGTAAATAAGCTTGCTTTTCCCTTTTACAGGTTTCTTTTGATTTGAAGAAACAATATGAACAAGCGAGGTGTACTTTTAGGTGAAGCATTTCAGAAACAGTCATTTGTAGCATCTGCACATCACCCAATGTCTTCAAAGTTTAAGAAAACTCAAAACTATTTGCCTGGATGTACTTTCCACATGATATATCACATCAGTCAAAAAGAGCGGGGCCCAATCCCTTTAAACCTCTAACAACCCTCTTAAAGAATTCTAACGACTATGCTCCAAAATGGTATAGTGGACAGAAGATCATTGATTTTTTTCCTGTGCCTGTACCTGTCAGTAATTTTTCCTCTTCGTTTTTCAACTCTTGGAGTTGTTGTCTGGCCTCGGACTCCCTCTGCTCCTTACCATCTCCGCACAGGCCATAGGCCTGGTTGAAGTTGGCAATCTCTCGGCTGAAGTCCTCCTGTTCCTTAGTCTGTACAGCTTCTAAGGACTTCTGTAAGTGTGGATGCAAATGTGACACGTTGTTGCCACGGCAACCTGACAAGTACATGCACAGTTGTGATTGCTTTTGTAGACGGATGAACACAACACAAAAGTTGGATAAATGAGTTTCAGTGAACAGAAAGTTAACCCCCCCAAAAAAAAATTTAAAAAAACCAATTCCTAAATGTAGACTGTCTCATTTTCTCATTTTTCATCTTTCATGTTGCACTTGATATTTTGACTTTTTTAAAGTTAATTCATCTATAGATCACGCATGCAGGATGTTACTTGCAGATATCAATTTGGCAAAAAAAGGACAACGTGAGAGGAAATAATACTGAACCAGTTCCTGTGCATTGGAGTCTCTTTCCTTCAACGCTCGGGCCAGCTGATCTTTGAGAATACCCTCTTTGTGTCTCAACCACACCACTGACAACTCAGCTTCTGTCTGATGTTGGATCTGAATGTAACATCAATAATAGAATCTTTAGATAGAGTTCTTATATGTGACTGGCTAGACATTCAATGGTTTGAATGTGACCCTGAAATTTAGGTACAGGGATTAGAATTTTGTCATTTGGAGAATCAGATTTTTAAAAAGAATTTCCACTCTTTCATTGAGTGAAGATGTCTCTGAACGGTTGATTTTTCTCTTTCTTGTGATTCATGTAGTTTAGCTTAATGTAACGGGATTAGATTTAAATTCATTTGATATTATGAAAATGCATTTTTGTGAAGTTTATAAAAACACAAATCTCTGGATAGCACATAGACCAGCTCTGTTGTTGCAGCCTAATCCTTAAGGCTGGTTCATACTTGGTGCAAAAGTAAACACAAACACACATTCTTGACGTCAGATCAAAGTTGAACACATTTCAACTCGAACGAAAGTTTGCTGCAGATCTTCATTTTGTCAGATTCTCTTTGCTTTCATGTTTGCCAAGAAGCCTAGTAACCAACCTTTAGAAGAATAGAAATAACCGAACTCAACTGCAGATTTGAAAATAAATACATGTTGGTGGTGAAATAAAACGGAACACATGAATTATGGTTAATCTATAACAATATTAAAGCTTGCTTGTAGCATGTTATTGTACTAAGTTAGAAGACTCAAAGTTGCATTAATCATGTGGTTACCTTGACAACAAGTTGACCCTGAGTTGAGAGACATTCTTCTTGGACTTCCTTTATTTGTTGTTTTACTTGAGTTATCTCATTTCTAACTGTTAACAATTTGAACAAAGACTCTTATCGATATGCAGGTGTTTATCAACAATGAATACCATGTCGAACAGCAATCACTGTAGGAGAATGTATTATATCAGAACAGGTTATGTCTTCCAAAAACTGCAAGGCACAACGGGCAAGACAGGGTTGTGCTTTTCAGCCTTTGGGAGTTAGAACAGGGTCTTACAAAGTGAACTAGAAACGGTTGGAGGAAATGTCAACGAATAACACTTCTTACACTGATAATTAACAACATCACAAGACTTGTTGACCTTTGGGCTAAAAAGTGTTTAAAATCAACACCAAAGTTGCGTTTTTATCAATCTTATCGACAAAGGAGTCCTGACGTCATATAGGCCGAGCTACGTGCCTCAGTAGGCTCAGTATGCTCAGTCCTGCATGTTAAGCAGGGTAATATTGATTTTTATCTAACCTTCACTCAGCAAGGCTTTCCTTTCTTTCGCCTTCTGCTCAGACTGCAAAATCTGGACAAATAGGTCATTCAAACTCATTTTTACAAATGTCACAGCAACGATATTTAGATAAACTTCAGAAGTTTGCGCACACAAAAGTTTACCCCTTGCCGATTGGCTTAACCTTTTCGAGACGCTTGAGGGCTCTCGACAATGATCAGTGTAGAAAGTTCCATTTGTTCTTTAGGTATAACTTTCTATTGAACTGTTCAACCATTAACATATTTCAACTAATACAAAACATTAATTGAACTATTTCACTCGTTCAAGCACTATAGGGCTTTACTTTATGAAATCGTGATTTGATTGTGAAAAACATTCGTTGAACTACCTGGGAACCGTGAAGACATATTTGGGTAAATTATTTCCACCCCTAATAATGAACGAATCGTGTCGCGCTTCAGCTAGCTGCGCCGATCAGGAGGGAGTGCGGAAGTGAAAAGAAGAAACATTCAGGCTGACATCAACATGTCATGACTGTCGTGATTGAATGAAGTACTGATATAGACAGTGGAAAATTGCGGCAAAATGGGTAGCTTTAACATCCTTGACATGGCCTTGACTGCTGCCAAAACAGATGAAGAAAAACGAGAGATTGTGCTCAAATATCTGGAGAAAAAATGCAATCCTGAAGAACGAACAATTGTCCAAGATTTTCCGGAGGGTAGGTTTACTTGGCCTACATATACACGTAGCGTAGGGCTGTGAAAAACAAATGTCAGTAGAGTCATTCACAGCCTAGCTGGACTGGATTAGTCATGCCGGTCGTTTCTACGACCGATCCAGTACGACCTATCCAGTCCAACATTCGAAAAAGAGGAATACTAAGGCCCCATTGACAGCCCTACTTGTGGCGCTAATGTTAGTTTAACTGTTACCATAGTTACACAGATTTTACCGCCCTCCATTTATTGCACAAGTTTGAAATGATGTTACTTAGAATGTTTTATTTTAGACATTGTCCACCATGTCCACATTTATATAAGTTCAAAATGGAAGACGGGGTACTCTATTCCTTGCTTGCATGGCTGAAAGTTCTTTTTATGTTGTTAAATGTTGTACTTAGAATGAACATTGAGTATGTGACCATATACATGTATTCACTAAGTCTCATATCTTGCCACCTGTTGTCTGGTAGTAAAGTCTGATTGGTTTTCATAGTAAGTGGTGAAATAAGAGACCTGGTAAAGATACAGTCACGGACGTTGGAGGAAGCCCTAGAATTAGCAAAGATTGCCAGAATCTTAGTATCCATGTGCTGATGTGAGAGGACATAGGCCTAGCTTGTTAAGTTTTAAACTGTGGTAAAGTATTACGTATTGAACTTGTGGGAGAGTAGAATGAAAGAATATACACTGCATCACCCTGCTTAACCACATCCTGTCGGGGGGCATTTATAAATATTGATTCTGCGGGGCTGGAGTATTTTTCTTTTTTTTTCTGTTTTCAAAATTCTTTAGAAATTCATATCTTCATTTACTGGACACTGACACCCACATGAAGGACTGTCTGGTTTCTACTCTAATCTGACAGACAACATCTGTTGACACTGGAGTATTTCAGCCAGGCCTACCGCCTTGTAAAGAGAGCCCAGATTGTGCGGTGTTACGTAATTTTCTTTTGTTCCCGAAACTGGCACAGTACGCTGCTCACATTTTTTCAATAGGGGCCAGATTAGCGTGCAGCGGTACTGTGTGGCTCATCGCTGCAGTGGTGGAGCGCTTTTGTCCCCCGGTGGTAATCCACTCCCACTGAATGCCCCAAACAGTGGTATACTGTTTCAAAAAAATGCTGGATTATCTCCGCTGTTGACAGTGAAAAAAAGTTGGTAATTCCCAGCAACCTGGTCTTTTGTTATAAGTACGGTCTGTTGTTACAAGGCCCAGTTCCCTTTGTACGATTTTGGACACCCCGGCTGTGCATATAATGAATATGTGCCTGAAACCGGACTCCCCAGCAGCAAGTGGTTAAAGCAGCAGATACTACAGTATTGGTGGATTTGGCAGGAAGATGTACATGTACATGTACACCAGTGTTAAATTTGAATAAACGGTCTATTATAGCACATGTATGTCAGACATTTTTGGTTGAACTCGTAGGTCTTGAGTGGTTCAACACAAAGGAACCATTGTCTTTGCACCGTGACTTGAGAGGCAAGCTCGTGGTTCTTGATTTCTTCACCTACTGCTGCATTAACTGCATGCATATCCTGCCTGATCTCGAGGTCCTGGAAGAAAAGTTTCCGGTCAGCGATGGACTGGTCGTCATCGGTGTTCACTCGGCCAAGTTTGAGAATGAGAAGACGTCGGCAAACGTACTTAATGCCGTGTTGCGTTACGACATTGCTCACGCTGTTGTGAATGACCACGAGGCCGTGCTGTGGAATGCTCTGGATGTGCAGTGCTGGCCCACGCTGGTGCTGGTTGGCCCCTCCGGAGAGTACCTCCTGCCGATCATTGGGGAGGGCAACCGCAAGAAGTTGCTCCTGATCTGCGAGGTCACCATGGCATTTTTCAGATCCCGTGGAGAGATTGTGGTTGATGCGGAGCTACCGATGCTCGCCCTGTTGAAGGACACCCTGCCCGATTCGCCGCTCCTTTTCCCAGGAAAGATCGTCATCGATGGCCAAGGTAACAATTTAGCGGTGGCAGATAGTGGCCACCATCGCATTCTGGTGACCTCGCAGGAGGGGGTGGTACTTCACTGCATCGGTGGGACTGAGAAGGGCTTTGTGGATGGATCTTTCCGCAAAGCGCGGTTCCACTCGCCACAAGGTATGGTGTGGAAGGATGAAATCATTTACCTGGCTGACACGGAGAACCACGCTATCAGAAAGGTGACTGTTTGTTTGATATAACAAACATGCATTGTACTCATGCAAATTACAACCAAGTTGTCTTCAGTAGATCTGAGACAAAGTAATGTTTTGTGTACTCTAAACTGTATTTGATCCAAGTGGGATCTGTACGTTAAAAGAATCCTGCAAATAAATTTTTTTTCCTTGGCCCAGTTTGCCCATTTAACTATCAAACATACGAATCGATATTTTCTCCAATTTGCTCTTCAGATGCAATGTGCTAAAAAAATGTGACATTGATATCATTGCATCTCACGTCTGGCAAACCATGTGAAATACTTCCTGTTTAGTGGAGTTGCTCGGAACAGAAATTTGCTAAGCGTGTGAAACATTTGTTCAGCAAAAGACTGTTAAGATGTTAATTGCATGTGACTACCGTTAACTAATATTTTCTCAACGGTATTTTCTGTTATATCCTCTGCTTCAATAGCAGCTTTGCAAGTTCAGCCTCTCTTTCAACCAAATTGTGCAAAGAAGCCAGATAAACACCCTATCGGTTGTTCTCAGAGCAAAGTTTTAAAAATGTATTCAGTTGTACGCATAGATTTTTAAAACTCCATCCTCAGATTGACCTAAAGGCTGGGGCAGTCACTACCATTGCGGGTACAGGGGTGATGGGAGACTACAAGTGCCAGTGGGGAGGGGCTCCAGGCCCTGAGCAGGTGCTGAGCTCCCCTTGGGATGTGTGTCTAGGGGGACCGGATGACAGCATTCTCTTCATCGCCATGGCTGGGAGCCATCAGATCTGGGGTTTATTCCTGCGAGATAGTAAATGGCTCAAAAATGTGTGAGTGATGATTTCATTGGGAAGGAGTGTCATTTCAGACACCATTTTTTACCGTTTTAACCTGCAAGTTTAAAAAAAATTGTTTTTCAGATAATTTCAGCTTTTCCTGAGCAGAATGAATTTTTCTTTGATGGGGTGGAATTTGTTATGTTTGGAGGCAAATTGCCGGACACAGAACTCTTGTCATTAATTGTAATTTGTTCGTCACATTTTAAAAAAGAGAGCTTTGCATTCTTTGACCAAGAGACTGAGGCTGCTAAGGCGATAACTGAGCATGTCTGGTACTGTACTCCAGGCACAAAAAATGCTTGGACATCATGGCATGTCTTCACAAGAGATTTATCATTTTTTTCACATGGATAAAGTAAGGGAAATGGTTGGAAGGTGTCCGATGTCAAACTGTAATTTTTCTCTACAGATGGCATGATTTTACTCTTCATAAGTGTTCTTTTTAACCTTTGGGACCACTAGTTATAAACTAAGTCGTATTTAGAACAAGCATGACACACTAGAACAACCTCCCTATCCCCAAAGAATACAGAGTTAATTCTCTGTCAACCCTCAGAGGGTAAAATGACTGCGAGACATCAGGCATTTTCCAACCCTTTTTGGTTTTGGTCCGACCGAAAAGTAGGCGTGGTCAGAAAGGCAAGAGTAAAATGCTGTTGGTGTTTTTACATACTTTTTTGAAATTCTCAGTGATCACAAGGCACAGGTCTGCATGCTGTATGCCGGCTCTGGCAAAGAGGAAAACCGCAACAATGCCTACCCCAGGAAGGCCGGCTTTGCCCAGCCCTCCGGCTTGGTCAACCCCCATGTGGAGTACTTGAACTGCATGTTCGTGGCCGACAGTGAGAGCAGCAGCATACGCGGCGTGTCGCTGAAAGACGGCGCAGTCCGAGGGGTTGTTGGTGGGGATTTAGACCCCATGGTGAGTTAAAACGTTGACGTGGAAGAGAAAAAGTTTACAGGGACAGAGATATACTGAGGTCGCTTGGAAATGGATCAACTTATACATGTTTAAGATTACTGTGTGCTGGACAGCTTTGATCAGTTCACATTGAGGATGTCTTGATCATCTGCCGTCACTGTGGTAGTCAAGACCAAATACCGTATAGCGCCGAAGGCGCAAGATGGATAACTGTGCCCAAAAGGTGTAATCACCATGGGTGCCATTTGAACAAGCGATACGCCTGCAAGGTTCACAGTAATGCACAGACGCAGGTGCACCAGGTGTACTTGCCTGCCACGGCGCTTGCCCCTGTGCATTAATGTGCATTGCGCAGGCGTATCGCTTGCTCCGATGACGCCCATGCGATTACAATGTTTTACGTGTATTCACGGTGAAGTTCTCCATCTTGCACCGTTACGCAGTGCTATACGATCTTTGGTCAAGACCTTAACAAGGGCCCACAAGACCAACACAAGACCTCCAGTCTAAATTCAAGTCACTAGTTAGTCAAAAGGTCAGAACTGCAACAAAAGCAATCCTCAGTCATTGCTTGTCCTGTACTTGTGACTGGTCATGTGCATAGTCTTGTGAAAGGTCCTGTGATGGTCTCGACTGCAACAGTGGTACAGCTGACTGTTGAGTGTTCCCTAAATCTCCAGCGTCAGGCATGTCTAATCCCTTTGTTGGCCCTAACACACACACAAAGTCCAGGAAGTCTGTTAAACTTGAACCTGGCTGCTGTACACAGCCTACCGTTGCAGCAAACATAGCTGGTACCTCGGAGTATAGCAAAATATGAGGTTGCAGTGTGAGCCATCATACAAATAATGGGGACATAATCCTCAAGTGTCAATATTTGTGTCTTGTGGCTGCATTCTTAAAGTGGGCTGATCTATCCATTTTTGCCAAAAATACTGTCCGCGAGCAGTTCAGCCTGATTTCCTGTGTTCCCCGCAGAACCTGTTTGCATTTGGTGACGTTGACGGCAGTGGACGCGATGCTAAGTTACAGCACCCATTGGGCCTAGCATGGAACCCTCTCAACCAACACCTGTATGTTGCCGACTCTTACAACCACAAGGTGGGTTGGCACTCCTGAAACCAGTGATTAACGTGCATCTAAAGAGTTTTAACCATATGCTGCCAGGGAGCCTGGTCACGGGCACATAGGCTTTATACATGAAACCAGGGAGCCCGAACAAAATTAAGAGCTGGGCCTTGTAACAAAAGACTGTACTCGGAACAAAAGACCGAGCTGCTGGGAATTGCCAAGATTTTTTCATTTGTCAATAGCTGAGGAAGTCCGTCCTTATTTTGAGAGATAATACCACTGTTTGTGGCATTCAGCACGAGCGGAATACCACCAGGGACAAAAGCTCTCCAGCGCTCCAGCAATGAGCAATACCATGCCACTGCACCCTAATCTGGTCCCATTGAAAAGATGTAAGCAGCGCACTGTGCCAGTTTTGGGAACAAAAGAAAATTACATGACACCGCCCACAATCTGGGCTCTTTTTACAAGGCGGCAGGCCCGGCTGAAATACTCTGGCATCAATGGATGTTGTCTGTCAGATTAGAGTTGTCACCAGACAGTTATTCATGTGGGTAACATCCAGTAAATGAAGCTATGATTTTTTGAAGAATTTTGAAATTAGAAAATCTTGAAAATCTCCCGCTTTTACGTCATGCAACCTCAAAAATCCACCTGGCACCAAGTGGTTAACTTCATGTTAGTTTTGTATGTATCTGCCTTTAGCTGAAGCACCTCCTCATCAGTTGAACAGAACCAGGTTGGTTGGGAGTGTTCATTTTGCTGGTAGAGATGAGACCCTAACGCATGCATTTACAGCTGTTCCTGAATCAGCAAAGTGCAGTTCCGACCAAAGAAGCCTTTATTGCCATGAAAATTGCACCTTCTGTTCTTCCTTTAGGCTCTTCATTCATGTATATTGTCACTGTGTCCAAGAGCTGGGGCTTTGACTGGAAATAACATGGCATCTATGAAAGCCACTGGTTAGTGGCTGCAGCCATTTCTCATAGGCGTGTGCTTTAATATCAGCCTCAGCCGTTTGATTTGGACATAGCCCACCATTTGGTTTTACAGTGTAACAACTGTAGACTTTACGTTGGTGAAAATATTGACAACTTCTGTGGTTTCCGTTGTGCAAAATTTGTCCGAGGGCCTGATGGGGAATTTTGATGTAAGTTCACTGCATTCTCATCTTTCAATGAGTAATGCATTGATATTGAATGATTAATATACTACCCGCAGATCAAAGTGGTAGATCCGGTGCAAAAGTCCTGCACCACCGTGGCAGGCAGTGGCAAGCCTGGGAGAGTGGATGGTTCCATTCTGGCCGAGGTGGAGTTCAACGAGCCTGGTGGGCTTTGCGTTTCACCCACCTTCAACAAACTCTATGTTGCAGACACCAACAACAATGCCATCAGAGTGATGGATTTGAGAGACCAAACTGTCCAAGAGGTAAAAACCTGGACAATTTGGTTATTTGATAATCTCATTTATATTTAAATGATTTCCTTTGTTGCCAAAAAGTAAGCGTTTGGGTTCATATTCCATACTTTTTTTTCTTTGTTTACATTTCTGTTTGATTTTGTTGACAACTTATTAACCATATCCTGCCAGGGAACCCGGTTTTGGGTACCTTGGGTTTGTACGCATAGTCAGGATGCCCGAAATCAGACAAAAGAGCAGGGCCTTGTAACAAAAGACCGTACTCGGAACAAAAGACCGAGCTGCTGGGAATTGCCAACATTTTTTCAGTTGTCAATAGCGGGAGGAAATCCATCATTATTTTGAAAGATTCTACCACTGTTTATGGCATTTAGTGCGAGCGGATTACCACCGGGGACATTGATGAGCGATACTGCTGCATGCTAATCTGGCGCGTCTTGAAAAGACGCCAGCAGCGCACTGTGCCAGTTTTGGGAACAAAAGAAACTTATGTAACACCGCACAATCTGGGCTCTTTTTACAAGGTGGCAGGCCTGGCTGAAATTCTTAGGCGTCAAAAGATGTTGTCTGTCAGATTAGAGTAGCCACTAGACAGTCACTCCATGGGGTTTAGGTATTCAGGAAAAAAAGATAAAAATCATTGAAGATTTTTGAAAACACAAGATATAGCCAAATTGCCTGTATTTAGGCACTGCATCCCGCAGAAAATGGTTAACTTTCATCCCATTGAGTTCCTATATTTTTGTGTTCATATAGCTGAAAATAATTTTTCCATCTACAACTCAACCACCAACCACCGAACTAGACTCAATGTCATTGTCAGGACAGCCAATCAAATCCGCCATTTCTGCTGGCTCTCCCGTCGTCTCTTGTCCTGTGCTTGACGTGACCCCAGGGGGCACTGTTTGTATACAGCTGACCGTCAAGCTGCCTGCTGGCTGCAAGTTGACAAAGGGCGCCCCCACTGCCTGGATGGCGTACATTAAGGGTAGGTCACAGTTGGGGTGCTGTTTGAAGGGGTAGACCAAACTAAATGACCCAGATGCTTACTATATGTTTCACTCTTGAATTCGGGAGGCATTGAATGTGTCTGAGGGTTGAAAAAATCCCTTTTAGGATGGAAACTATCTGCCACAAGATTACAACAGTGATGGCACGGTTGTCCCTAAGCTGGACATTTTGCCCTAATTTCCTCTGTCCATCCTGGACACTGGGACCAGTGACCAGTGCCAAGGAGCCATTGACAGAAATGGCTGCACTCGCTGCAGAAAAAAAAACAAGCCAGAACCCTCATGCATATTTGACAAACTAGATTTGCTATGAAGCTACTACATACATGGAAATTTCTATTATAGCTTTATAGCTGTATTGGCATATTCAGTAATAATCAGTAAGATAAACTTTATTGAAATGGTCGAATAAACAATCAAGTATGTGTTTCTATAACAGACACCGCCAACCTGGTCTTTGGCAAGACGCCCATTTCCAGCTTTGACACTCCGCTTGCTCATCGATGGACAGTACCCTCTACAGCATTTGCCGCTGGCGATGCAATTCTGCGCATCGAGGTAGTTGTCTGCTACTGCGAGATGGATTCTGGGACATGTCACATGACAGCGTTAGCCTTTGAGTCACCACTAAAGGTTAAATCCTCAGGGGCAAAAGGTGATGTAAACTTGACGATAGAGCATGATATGTGAAAAAGTGGCATGGGAATAACACTCATGGGCAGAATTCCCCTTACTTGTACAGCCGTTGTGTTGATTTGCCCTCGTTTCTTTTGGCCAGCTTGTTTACTACTGCTCTCTCTTAACAAGTACGTTTGAGACTTCAGAAATTTAGTCATATCGATCAGACCAGAAGAAAAGACCTTTTTTGTAATCTTGACTTGGGACTGTTCCAATGGTCATTCTAAATTTTGTTGGGGTGGAATTTCTTTGGACAGAATTCAGTAGAATCTCAGCGGTGGTGTCAGAGTTGATTTACGCTGGATCCCCTTCACTGCACTCTAGCTAAACCACTCTGCTCAGCCGTAACTTTCTTGCTTAGCGTGTGTAGGAGGTAGAGTCATTTATATTCACAGTACCGACACAGCCAACATCACAGACTTCTGGTTTCCAGAGTGCACCTCTGCCAAGTTACAGCCAACCCTCACATTTCACTGGAAACAACTGTAAAATGTATACAACCCCGTTCCTGCAATTCGGGGATTTCAGACGTAGAAATTATTTTTTTTGCACTAATAATAAGCACCATTTTTGATCCACCCTTCCGAACATTATTTTGAGTAATACCCAAGGCACAATTGTTTTTGGCGTAACTTTAAACTGTTGGAAATTGTGTGGACTTTTTCAATAATAAATTGCTTGGTTTAGTACCATACAGACTTTATGGAAGATTTTCCACATTGCTCCTGAATAACCACTACTAGGGTACCATCTCCGACACTTTTCTACCAAAAATGAAGTTCGCCCCTGGTATGGGGACGATCTATGACTACCGACTCAAACTGCAAGTAAAAGAACGTCTCTGTGGTCAGTGTTGGTACTCTTACTGTAGGAGAAGGACCAAAGTTTGAGTTAAGTGTCTCCTCGTGCACCAGAGAGCCGATTCTGTGACAAATCAAAGGGCAGTTGGGGATTAATCACTCGTGTAACCAAATAAATAGGCAAGGTGTCAAATGGCTGGTAATGTTTACACTCGCGCATTTATTGTCTTCAGTATAACACAATGCAGCTGTGGTGTATTGCAAAACCGCCCTCAGAAACCGTTCTCCCCCTGGTCACTCTCCAAACAAGAGAGGGCGCTCTTCGCTCAGACTACACACTATCGTAATAATGGTGCATTATTATATAATTAATCAGTCAAACAACAATACCACCCCACTCACACATTGAATAAAGTTGACAGAAAAAAATCACTAAAAGCTACCAGAGCTTGATATACCCAATATATAAATGCTATTTTCTGTCCTTTGTTAATTGCGTTAATGTTAAAACTCAAGACAATCTCCTTGGAATTTGTTCTGGCCTAATAAAATACTAATCGTCAATGATTTGGTATGTGCAATCTAGCAAACTTATCTGAGAAAACCCATATCTCATTGGTTTTGGGAAAAAACAATTTTCATATATGGTCCAAACGAGGTCGGGCCAGCTGCCGCTGGCTTTCACAGCCCACCTTGACTTGACCTTTTCTCCCCAAAATAAAAAGAATTTGATATCAGGGAAGGTAGGAAAGTCCAAAGCAGTGGTCTGACTGCTGAGTTCGAACTATTTTTCCCTTGGAAAATTTAACCTCTTTCAAATCACTGTTTCTGGTTATGATGATGCAGTAGCAGGTGTCTTTGCCTTTTTGGTTGATATGTTGAGTATGCGACAAAAAAGAGAGTCCCTTCGCCAAACTGAGCCACAGTGGTGTACCCCACTCTTTACCTGACCAAATCATTGCCCAAAGTTTACTGTGACAACCTGTTAGAAGGTTTGTTTTGTTTCTAGAGGATTTTCAACAAGTGAAAAGTAGCACTTATTTATAATCATCCTTTTTTACTGCTAGAGTAATTGGTCCATTACATGAGTGAAAAGAATCATACAGGACCTACTGAACTGAACATGGGGAGAAAATGGAATTACAAAACCAAAACTAAACTGAGGAATTTAATATATAATGGTGTTACATGTATCCGTCTAATTTCTCATTGCTTTGTTAGGAAACTAATGGCAAAAACAAGAAAGAAAAAAAAGAAGCCAAAAGTATGCAATGCCACCCTGAATACAGGCTGCTAAATATATGCAAAATATGCAAATACAAGGTTATAATGTTACACAAACATGGCTCTGATTGGTCAGCTCTTTAGCACAATCCATACTCTAAAATGCAAAGTACATGTACAGTAAAATCCCACATGCTTCGTAACAGTCCTATACTGCAGAGGTTATTGTGTGTACAACATACATTGCTCTGGATACTTTAACACTGGCCCGTTACAACCACTCAAAAACATAGACTCTGCCATATTTCTGTATCCTTCATTCCTAATCTAGTGGGTCAGCTCATTCCAATACAACAAGCATTGACATCTTTGACATTTAAATATCTTGGTTCTGAACTATGGGAACCGCCAATGTGTGTTAGCCGGATGTGCAAGGAAAATGAACATCTTGATGGTACCCCGATCAACACAATGTGGTCAGTTCACTTATCAACGAAAGAGGAACATACTAATTCAGATCTGTGTGTGTCCCATAAATGCGAACATCATGGTGTTGGCTAACTTCACTCATCGAAATATTCTACCACACCAGTGAAAAAAAAAAAGTCTGAAATACATAATCAACATGGTCAACCATTTCAAATGGAATATACAAAGTTGAGAAACTGTAAACTGCGTACAAATTGTGGAGTATTATATCATATCTGGCTGGTATATGCTCAAACTTTAAACCCACAAAACATCAAAAAAACAAAACCAACTTTGCATGAAACATTTGTTTTGACAAACTTCCCCTTTTTGGCTCATTTTAATTCAGTGACATTAATATGATTCAGAAACTAGTGAAATACTAAGAATACTGAAGCGGTAATGCATGCAAGCTTGGGACAAAGGTACCCCAGAGTTTTTCCTTTTTTCCACTCTGTTTTCTTTTTTTCCATTTAATATACAGTACTGCGTGCTAAGTCTCTTATAATAGATATATAAAAACTAATATGCTTATTACATTTTCATTCACAGGGAATTTCCTAAAAGACATATTATGGTATTTAGTAGGAGAAATTAATCCGGTTAAAAAATATACTGGAAAAAGTTCCACGCATTTCTGGCGGAAAAATTTTGTAACACTTCACGGCATCAATGCTTTTTCAGAATGCAACCAAGTTCACGGTGACCAACACTATATCCCTTGGGAACCACACCAAGATGGCTGATGGGAAGGTTGTGCCCCAAAATGCAGCCACATATGGGAAGCCTGTGGCTATCAGTCTCTTCCTATAGATTGACATGTTACTACCAGCCACAGCCAGTTGATTTGGACATGGCTAATTCTTGCCAGAGGGTGGCAGCAAACATCAATGGGGCATACTCGGCAAATGCACTTGGCACGGAAACTTATTACAGTAAAAAAAAAAAGGCAATTTATCATACCATGACCGAGTAGTTTTCCTCCAAACATTTTTTGCAAACGGATCCATTCGACTTAGTTACTTCTCTTTCAAGTTCTCTTGGGTCCTGAATGTACAGGACACACGACCAGCGAATGCCAATGATAGAAGGGGAAAATCTGTGTATCTTTTAATAGCCCACCGATGGCCTAGCCACCAGACTGGTGTTTGCTGTCATCCACTTGTATATCTTCCAAGAAACTTTAAACAACACAATATGTTGAACAAGTCGAATACCAAATTGAGAGCTCACACCAATTAGTATTACAACTCTTATAGCTGTAGTATTGCTGTCAATGGTAGTTGATGATTCTTTGCAGCTTTCTAGGAACTAACGTCTGTTACAATACGTTTTACAATATCCTGACAGTTCTGAGTTTGTGACACAAAGGTAAAACTTACGTGCAGCGTCTTTGTCTTCATTTTTTTTCAAGTTTAATGCTAAGACACTCTTAATTCTAGTCAAAATACAATGTACAAATATTCTATTCTCATGATAGAGTTTTTTGCTCAAGCAGTTCAATGTGTGTACATGTACATGTAGTTGACATGAGATGTAATGACATCTGATACTTGCCATCACTGCATTATGGCAGATCAGATGAAGATTGTCTTTTTATTTGCAACAGTGATTGGGTTCATTTTTTTCAGGCTTCCAAAATTTTCTGGGGGAAAAAATGGGAAGTGGTTGACCCAACAATCTTTACATACATCCTCACTTGGCACCCACAATGCAATGCGAGTAAATACAGTGTGATATCATGACCTCTACGGCTTTTAATTAAGATACATGTACCAATTTTTCAAGACTATCGTGCATATGGTCTAAGTTGTGGCACCGTACCAATTGAGTCTTTAAACACACAGGGTACCATCGATTCTAAAAAATATTTGTAACTTTTGATCAACTTTTTCCCCACCCACAAGGGGTTGCGGTCACGAAGAATGGAGAGAGAAAAACGTGGAATAAAAAAATGACAAGTATGACAAAATGACAGTGCATTGGTTTGTAGTGTAACACGAACTGATCAACTCATCCTATCAATGATGTCACAACATGACATGACACAGCCAGACATGTCCGAATATTCAGTGCACGAGCGTTATTACATTCCACATAACTCAAACATTCTGCTCGACTTAAAAATTCCATCTAAAAAAAAAACCACTCCGTTACCAGAAAAACGGGAAGAATTAGCACTTCAAACAGAAGACAAAGTACTACAGAATGTAAAGTGCTAAACCATGCTGCTAGGTATGGTACCCTAAACCCTTAACATTTATTTATAACTGATCTACTGGCCCATCACCTGACAGAGTTGCATGCACCAATCTTAACCTGTACATTTGTGTATATATATGTGAGTGTTTTTTTTGTTTTCATATTAAAAGAAAACAAGTTATTTGCGCATTTGTGTGATTACTTGAGAGAAACTCCTGGCTAAATCATGAGGTACATCTATACATAAATCTGAATATTTCTCAATATATCTTGATTAGTTACTATGGCGACCGCAGACCACCATTAAAACATCCTTACATATATATGGAGGATTTATTATTGTCAACTAGAAATCTAGAACCATACTTTTTTTCCACAATACAAATGTTCATGAGCAATCTTTTCAGTTTATCTAAGTCTTTTTGTCAAAAGCGTCCAATTCCCTTTTTAAAAAAACCATGGAGAACCAACTAACGGACCTGCCATGCACCGATTAGAATTAGAATATATAAAAAAGAACAGCAGGCATTTTTTCCCTCTTTTGTAGAGGTTCTTATTGACTGAATCAAATGTGTGGATAATTTCTAGCTCTTGAAGCAGTGTGGTTAAATGAACTCTAATATTAAATGAACTATGCTCATCTGCATAATATGCATAAATATTCAAAATCCCTTACAAACAAAGTTGGTCATGTACAGCATCAGGTAAATTGATCTGAAGTGCGTACTACTTTGAGACAAAAAGAATGAAAAAGGAAAACAAAATACAACCAACAATGACAAATATGTGTGTAGTGATGCAGTGCTGTTCCCAATATTTTATTTTACAAATACGAATAATGAGGTAGCAACAAGATTAACACAAAAATCTGAGAAGCCACTTAATGAAAATTGCTCAGTGAGAGAGTGCATAGGATCTAAGAAGCGATGCACTTTTGTCCCAACATCGAGACAAATGTTAAAAGTCCCCTACAAACCGTGTTACCATCAACCAACTGGCACCAATGGACTGGACATTAAAAAAATTGTGAGTCGATTCAACCAACTTTCTATTAAGCGCAGAATGACCACTGTGACATCTCTAGAACGTCTGACACCAGAATCATGCACAGAACATGCACACAAAACGTTGTTTCCTATTTCTGTCTTGGTTTGATGTTATACAAATGGACTACAGGCAAAACCACCACACAAGTCTAACCAATATGCCCAGAATACCACGAGACCATTCAAGTATTAGATAAGGTAAAATAAGTCCCGGCAACTGAAAACCAAATGTGCCATACAACCATAGCATCATGGGATCTCTGGTAAAATCGAGGACTGAAGAAAAAGTGTTAATCTAGTGGCAATGAGAACATCGCAGCAGAGGATTATCACCCTTTCTTCCTAAAAAATGGAGATGGAAAAAGGTGCACTGTGACCACCTATGGTATGAAAAGTGCAGTTACGAGGACACTATCCGACTTTAAGGGGTAACATTGGAAAGGGTTAGATTTCAATCTAACACCAAAAAATGCGGCAGTTCAAAAGAATCTAAAAGCGGCACTGACAGGGCAAACAATATTGCAGCCAAATCATAGAAAATAGACGTGTTGAAAATTGGCAAACATAATGATCGATTTTCCACTTCCTTTTCAAAAGTTCCTCTACAGAACCCCAAACTATCCTGATGCAAAAAGCGTGTTTCAGCAACACAAAGAGTAAAAATTACAAAGCCAAAAAACAAAACAAAAACAAAAAACAAATGGAAAAAAGAGATTGGTAATTAACTCAAAGAGTATTGGATGCATTGCTTTGGCACACACAAAAAAATTAAAAGGCAAAACAAAAAAATAGAACAAATATACCGGCATATGAATGGTTTTAACTCAGCTAAGCAAATTCGAATACTAAGGATAATACTATTAACGTAAATAAATGCACACACACACATACTGGCACACTAATAATAACTGGAAGTTTTTTCAAGCAGTGGCAGTATTTTTTTTTTAATTAAAAAGTTGAATCAGGTGGAAGAAGATAGAGTGCATCTGCTCTGCTCTAGCACCTATTGCTTTCAAAGAACAAAATCAAGTTCCTCACAGACTCTTCGGGTATTTGGAATTTTTAATTTTTTTTTTTTCGCTTTTCCATTATCATTTCAACTCCAGGCAGACATGGGTTTGATGTCTTGTTAGGTTTACAATTGCATTAGAACTGGTTTTGTTTGTGTTTTTTAAAGGTTGTTTTGCAAGTGGGCTCCCACGTGGATTTGCTCACTTCATGGGGAGCAAGTTTCAAATACGCACTTCTGTTGTGGGACTGTCACTCTGTGAAGCAGTCACTTCATTTGGAATTAAGAAACTAGGAATTTAAAATTAACTATCAATAGTCCATTTTCCCAGAGATGAAAGGCTGGCCAGAGTTACTGCTACTGAGGACGTTGAAAGCATTGTTGTATAAGTTAATTCGTTTTTCTGAAATAAAGTAAGATGGTGCAAAGAAATGAATAACTCAAGTGCAAGTACACATCTTTATTGACAGAAGGGAAAGAAAATTCAAGTCTTGCAAAAAAATTTGTATTAATTGTCCAGACCCGACTTCGAAATTCAACGACCCCACGATCAAATGTGGTGGAAAGTGTGAAATTTGGGCAAGTTAGAAGTGCTGAAGGTAAAAAAAAATTCAAATATGAATTACGTCATAAGAAAACAAAAATTAACACAGATTGTCTTAGCGGAATTACTTATAAGTAGAAATAGTCACGAACACTCTACTTGTGCCAGATAATGCAAGACTAAAAAACCCAATGTCTATCTAACGACATTTCTAGTAGGCACACTGGTATACTATATCTTTATCAGTTACAATGGAACAAAAATTTCCCAAAAAACAAACCCTCCTCGCAATTGGTCCCTGAAGACACCTTAAATGTACAGTAAGAACTATTGTCTTTTTTTACAGCGTAATTTCCCGAAAACTATGGGAGTCACTCACTATGTTCATTCCTACAAAATAGCAATTTGGTTTTTTTTTGCAGTGTTTAAAAACACCCAAAGTTCATACGAAGGCATACATGTAGTCATAACCTTTTGAATTTGTTTTTGCTTTTTTTTTTAAATTTATTTCTTTTTAAAAGCTTTCATGTCTTCCTTCTCAGAGTGTCAAGACGACGGATATATCACAGCGACCAGGAGGCACTCCGAGAATGAAATTTCACCCCCCTTCCTTTTTGGAGGGAGGGGGGGGCTTTTGTTTGAAAAACAAGCTGCATAAAAACAACCCCACAAATTCATCATAACGACGACTCCTGGCAGTCAGCAGAGCTATGAAAGAGCCAAAAATTAAATTATTAACCAAAAGGGAATGCTTCAAAACTTTGTCCAAATGGATACTGACACGGAGAATTTGACAAATTTTCAACACGACCACTACTGCCAAGCGGAACCAACTGTCTACTCTTAGATATCAGACCACCGTATACATGTAAATGAAACTAGCATGCATGAACATTTGACGACTGGGTAACCAGTTAAAATACCGATTTAACATGACTTTCAGCACTAAAGTGAACGGAGCAAGACTATGTCACATGCTACTGTAAAGGTTGGAATGGTATGTTAAAACACATGATTAACAAAGCAAAAGCGTGCTATTGAGTAACGTGTAGTTGCATCCTATGCAATAATGCATGCCTTCAATTATCAAACTCTTCGAAAAATTAAAATTGAAACAAAATCAAGGTATAACAAGGTAGAATACAAAAAGAAAAATGACGTAACCAAAAAACAACAAAATGAAAAAAGAAACCTGCAGATGTAAATGCTGCCACAAAGCTTCTAAGGTATTAAAGTACGCATACGACCCTGAGACATTTGAACTTTGAACTTTTTTTCAATTCTAATTAGCATCCACTACTGTTATAAATTTTGAAGGTAAAACTTCAGCAAACACGGGTTGCATGTACAGAGCACTCCGCCCACTCTCTCCTGCACACACCATTCTCTCCCACACACACACACATTCCCTTCAGATTTCACCGTAAAGACTCCTATAAAAAAAGCACCTCACAAGTGTAACTATTGCATAAATACAATCTATATAAGTTGTTAATTCAAAGCATTTCTCTCTAGACATTTTGTTTCCCCCAAAAATGAGTACAAATTAAAATAAAAAATGATATATTCCCGCAAAAAGGCAACAAAAATGACAACGATAATATAAATGCAGTATTAAATGGAAATATTTTAAAGAATACTATGGTTTGGTTAATCGCAAATAGAAGTTCATTATTTTTTTTTTTTTTTACTTTTTCAAAAAACATCGCATAATACACATCCAAAAGTTAATTGTAATCACAAAAAAGGACCAAATTTCACGTGAAATTCTGTGATCTACCACCTCTTAGTCACTATTATAACAGCAATGCCATTTATTTCAATGTGGAGAATGGAACAACACATTCCTGCTAGCCTCAAGTCCCACAACAACCCACTGGTCTGACGGAATTACATCAGATCAATTCTGATAGGCTATTCTAAGGACTATGTAATTGTTATGGACATGCTGTGGAAAATGCTGGTTGTCTATTAACACTGTTTCAAAAAGACCACTGACAACACAGTAAGATGAGACCCATCAGTGATCAAAGAGCCGGGTATGATATCAAACCACGTAACAACCCGACTTATGCATGTTCACCGATACAACACTTTCCCTATGCTACAGCCAGGCACATCGGGTTATATTGAAAGGACTTTTTTAAAACTTCACTACAAATGTTCAAAGAGCAGAAAGTCCAAATAACGTACGCGTGAGGACACTTGCTGAGGAGTCTGTGCTAGGCATCAATACTGGCTTAAGCTTAAACGGCCGAAGGGATATGTAACACAGCACATGCATGAACAGTTTTTGTTTCGTTTTTTCCGTGGTAGATTTCACAGCATACGAGAGCTCTAAGTGTCATGCTTCTACCACTAGTTACCTCGGCTACTGTAAGCACTCTCGTTATCCTTAAGGCCTTTAAAAATGTAACTGTGAAAGATCCAAGACTTGACAATGTAAATCTCAGTGAACGTGGAACATGTAAAAACGCAAAAAAACAGAACACCTGTCTCAACAAAAGTGTGGAAACCATTCGGGTTTTTTTTTTCAAAGAGAGAATGACAAATCTAGCATTGTGACAGCAACGAGAAAAAAAGCCATTATAAACAATTATCAATACCTGACAAGAGTTAACTCATACAGAGTGTATTAAGGCACAACAAAAAAATCAAATGTGATACAAATCAAAGGAAAAACACCTGAAAGTGCACAAAACATACGACGCAGAATCTGAATAATTTCTGATACCGCACATCCCAGACAAAGGCAAAACAGAAACCCAGTGTGAATGCAATACCCGCTATTTCAAGAAAATCAAACACTGAATGGAGAGAAAAAAAAAAAAAGTCTCCAGATGAGCGTTGAAGAGTGTCTCTTCCGGAGTGCTCCCATTCTTGGCTCCTACTCGCCTTGCCCCTCCCCCCTTTCTCTGACCGGCATCTCTCGCTACTCCGATTGGTTGTTCATCTCCGAGGCGTCGGCGCGGCAGATGGGACAAGTACGGTTGGTCTTGAGCCACTTGTCCACACAGCGGGCGTGGAACTCGTGGCTGCAGGGTAAGACACGCAAGAGCTGCCGGGCCTCGAAGTCGCACATGCACACCACACAGCTGGGGAAAGTCGGGCAAAAGACAAAGAAGTGAGGCTACTAAATAACGATGGGGAGGGTCGTCTAACGTTGCTTGTAGTGGCAAGTATTAACAGAACTTGGTAAATTCGAGCGACGACCATTGACCACTGGTAGATTTTGCCCAGTGTCTGGGATATCATGTGCACAGGTTACCAGGAAAAAAAAAACAAAATCGACCAGTGGTTATCAAACTTGTTGTCACTGGAACCTGCCTCGTATTGAACTTGGAAAACCAAATACTCTTTCAAGTGAGGAGGATGAATTTGACTGTGGGAAACGGGACGGAAAATGAAAGAAAACGGGAGTAAAAATGTATTGCACTGGGGTGAAAACAGCTTAACAATAAAAGTGACCTGTTACACACTGACAGCCAATGAAAATATGCCACTTTGCATGATCAAGAGTTTGCAATTGTTATACAGAAATGAATTGACCAGTGCCTGCACGTTGCAAGCAAGCACTTATGCACACATTATGATGCTAAGTGTAGAACACAGTTATTTTCAATTTCATAACTTATCAGGTGTTCACGAGGCCACCAAGTTCAAAATAGCAATGGACACTGCTAATGACCAGGGGTTAAATTAAAGCCCACAACCATGTTTCACACATGTGGACTGGAGGGGATGAATTTGGTCAGTTTCAGGCAGCAGGAATCCGGGGAAAAATGCAGGCGTACCAGGTCTGGTCGTTGATCGACCGGTGGGTGTCCGGCTTGTACAGGTAGGAAGGCAGCTGGTCGATGTAGGCCTTCGTCAGGCCTCGCGGCTTGGCCTCACCAAGACGCTCGGCAAGATTCAGTAGAGCCTGCAAAGGTGGATGGAAGAAACTTCTTACTTTTTCATATCTGCCTTGAGGTGAAAAAGACAGTGTTGTTACCATCAGACCCATCAGAAGGCCAGTCCCAAGTAGCAGCGGGAGCAATGACCAAGAAATGCTTTTGTCACAGTTCATTTAAACAGCCTGTGAGGCTGCATCCGAATCGGTTGTCTAGGGCAAGGTTTTCACTCCATTGGGAATATGCGCAGATGCACAGACAATAGACTACGGTAAGTGACAGCTTTACAGGCCCATTTTGAACAGGGCCAGACTTGGCTTAAACTGAACAACTTGCAATGGACTCCACTAAAACACTGGATCAAGGGTCAAGAGGTACAGATTGTTAAATTCCAACGTCGGTAAAGAACTAAAGATGTTCTCAATTTCAGTGAGCGGGACTGTGCCTTTACAGGTGTCAGTGACGCAAGTCATTGTCTCCAGCAAGGTCAAATACCTGTAGAACAGTGACTGTGGTTAACCTCGACCTCAAACAAATCTACAGAATTTTACTTATAGTAAATTGCAGTGTCCATTACTCAAGTACATTAGTGTACAGTGCTTACAGTACTTTTTAGCATACGATACTTCGGCCCAAATCAGGTTTTTGGTAGTTTGTGGTCCTTCAGTCTGAATCAGTACCCACACAGTTAGTGTTGAAGACCCGAAGCCACAAGTACAGTTTTTGCTTCTGTGCAACTGCCCTGCACCCTTACACAATAAAATACTTCAATTTGTTTTTGTGCACACATTTGTTTAGAGGCAATTGTCATTCTCATGTCATCCTGGTCTGGCAACTGATCCATGAAAAGCCGTGCTTTCCTTTCCAGAATGAGCGTCTTAGAACTACATGTACAAAGGGGTTTTATGGGTAATAACCCCCTTCTCATAAAAGTCCCCCCTCATACAAGTAACCAAGAACCTGTCGTTTTCCAGTTGTGTTTTGGGTATTTGGGTATTTGTCCCAGCCTTTAAACGAATTATTCGAGAAAACTGCAAGTACAAATTAAAGTGTCCACTGAATGAGAAGCTTCTCTACACTGGCCTATCCTTATTTTCATACCGGCTGCTGGTTTGCGTGTATGCGTTAACAAGCTGCAGCATCTGTTATTGTCTGGCCAAATGGCCAACGCGACACAACCTTGACATCCCCAATCTCTACTCGCGGATTTGCTATGGCAGGCCTCCTGCACGTGCAAAAGTCATCAGGCTGGAAACATTATCTGGGACACACCACCGCTCCATCCTGAGTCTGTCTCACGATTGCTTCTCAATGCCCTTTTCAGATGGTGCACTAAGCCCATGTTGTTGTACGACAAATCCCCTCTTCTTGGACACACAGCAGAGTTATTATGTTCACTGGTTTGGGAAATTTAGGAGAGGAAGAGGAAACAAATCTCTTCTGAATGTACCTCGTAGTTTTCGACCTCTGCATCTTCATTTTCCAGCTCCATCTGGTTGACTGGGGGATTTGGAAACCTATACAGAAATAACAAGAATTGCAATTTAAAAATTATACAGTTTGGGAGGCCCAAAAACTAAATGAAAAAAAAGAAAAAGACAGAAATGAAAAACACAAAAACTGCTCCAAATTGTCTCCTGACGTATACAAAATTTAAAAGCAAGAGGGCCTCCAATCCTATGATCATTTTGTCCAATCAAGATCAAAACTGTCGACCCTTAAACTTTGAATTTGTAAAAATTGAAGTTAATTAAGCAGGAAACCCAGGGAGAACAAGAAAATGAAATAGAAAAATGGAATTTCAATACTCACATCAGGGAAAAATGTTTTACATACTACTTGGAAAGATGAGAGGATACAATCAAGATTTAACGAGCCATCATTACTGCACAAGTATAATGAATCAACTGTCCAGTATATCAATTCAGATGTTATTCAGAAATCTTCCATTTCCTTTTGCCAAAACATTCGCAGAGGGCAGCACGCTATCTGAAGGGAGCCCTTGTGACAACCAAGCCCAAATTCGCCGTTACTGACAAAATTTGGAGGATGGGGGGCTTGTTGACAGGAGAGTAATGTCTGACCTATGTGCTGCATGGCGTGAACCTGATGAGCAAGTCGCAAGAGGCATTTCTGGCTCTTGGGAGGGGAGCTGGAAAAGTGCAGAGCCCCGATAGAAATGAAATGGCCCTAACAGGTGATGTGGTGGGGGACAGGATGAAATGAGGAAAATAGGTTGTTTGTTTGAACTTTCAGGGGAGGGGGAGGATAAATGATTACTCTCATGAGGATGTTGACTATTTATGAGCTTCTGTGCCAACATTTGTCATTTCCTCGGATTAGCATGGCTGAAGGAACAGTTTAGTTCTAGGGGAAGAAGATCAAAAGGAAAGAATTCCAACAATAGGAGATCCTCTGAGTCATGGAATCTGGATTCCACAAAATGTGGAACTTAAAAAAAAAAGGCTGGGTTAAGTAGGTCGGAAATTTATCACGGTCAAACAGTTTGTTTTGTAGCATTTGAAACGGGAAACAAAATTAAGTCTTCCCAATTTGAGTAACTTCTGAAACACATTTAAAAGGCGAATCAAAATAGCTCTCCTCTTCCCTATCTCCCTTCCCCGAAGGGATGGAAGCAGGCTTGTGATGGGGAAATCAGAAAAAAAAGGTGACGAAGATTCCAAGCTGCATGCAGCTATGTACAACTTTTCATAAATTTGTACTGGCAGATAGGGAAGTAAAGAAAAGGGAAACGGTGTATCTGAGAAAATGTGCCACACGTACAAATGCCACCCCAACCCTTTTAGGTACCGCTTCAACAAATGCAAAAAAGTGACTGAGACCAGACTTGAAACAAAACCAAACTCTTCTCATACTTTCATGAGACTTTAGGACATCGTGAAGGCAGTATCCTTCAAATAAGAACGATCCAAAAATATAACACAGAATCGTTTCTAGGGTTCAATATCAAATCCAGAGTTCCAGTCAAGCCCATTAGAGTCCTGCAACAAGTTCCAACCACAGGTACTTTCTTACCACAGCAGAAAGCTTCCACTAGAGTTCACTGGAACAGGTTGGCTGGTGACTAGAAAACTTAAGACAGACTAATGTCACAGACCACTTGTTGTGGACTTGCAGGAGCTTGTGACAGACTTGACTACAAATACCGACTGGACCACAAGTTTTGCTTGCTTTTGTTCAGTGCGACAGTCGAGTCCATTTCAAGTCCATCATGAGCAAGCCAGTCTTTCACCAAGACAAAAGCTACTCAAACAAACTGCGACAAAAGCAATCCTTTGCCACCGTTCAGTCCATTACTTTATGACTGGCCTTAAGGAAGGACTTGTGACTGGACTAGTGACAGCCTCGACTGCAACACTGTCTCTACAATGTAAAACTGTGCGAGGACTTACAGGTAGCGCAGGAACCATCCAGGGTAGGAGGGCTGGACGGGCACAGAGGGTGACACCTGGTTCCTCCAGGGGCGTGCCACGGTGGCTCTACGCTGCTGCTGCCGACTGATACTGTTCAGACGGGGGTACGCGTGCTGTCACAGGTAGGGGAGGAAGAAGCAATTCAGTTTTATGTTTCCCAGAAATAACAATGTCAAACTATTTTAACAAAGTATCAGAGGCACCTTGCTATCTGTAAAGGGCTCATTAATTCCATGCTCCATTTAGTATCTCCAAAGTACAGTCCAAATGACATCTTTGTTCATACCCTACCTACGACCCAAGTCCTAACTAAACAGCTGGCCACACATTTGAGCCATGTTTGAAAGTTCCACAAACACTGACCAATTTTAACAAGCAGAAATACCCAAGATATTGTCAAGGATCAAGCAAAATGCACGACTGTGAAGACAAAATTGGGATGCTGCCAAGTTGTGGAAAGAAATTTGTTTCTTTCGAATCTGAACACCTTTTCGGCTAACAAAACCGGCAGAGTGTTGTCCCAAGTTCTAAAAGGATCGATGGAAGAGTCCTCACCATGTGATGCACCTCTGGAGGATTTCGCAGGATTGACTCCTGCAGAAGGTGAAGCGGTGGGGAGGGGGTGAGGGAAGGGTTGTGCTGAGTTGAGGAAGGCACGTGGAATGCAGCGGGCCTCTCTCCGATGATCTCCACCTCCGAAGATCTCGTCTGTGGCCAGAAACAAAGAACCGTGTACTGCCATGTCTGTATCACATGTCCATGTACCTACTGCAGACAGACATTCCTTTGTTTTCCTGTTGTCATACTAAGTTTTCAAACAATGAACAGTATTTCATGCAGGGTTTTGTTGGTTTCCTTGACCCTTCTTCATTTTGCTACTCTACTTGGAAAACTGCCAATAAAATTTTTTTTTCAGTATGTGGATAACCTTGCAGAGACCTGGCTTTGTCCACACAAGGTTTGCACAACTGCATAAAGTAGACCTGTCATTTTCACTAGAAGACAGCATGTCAGAGCCTGTTTCAATGAAGATACAGTAACATTTGATCACCGGAATGCCATACCCTTGCTCTGTTGTTATTTTAACATAATAATTACCGGTAGTTCAAGGACTTTTCAGTTCTTGTGTTCAAATACTGTCCATTTCATTTATTCACATGATTTAACTACAACTGGAAACAGACATATTGGGACTGAATTTGTCAAGATCACATCTCCAGAAATCTGGATACATATCTAGTGTTTTTCTTGCAATCAAATTTTATGCATTCCACAGGAGACTAGTTGATGAATCCACAAACATCTTGCAGTCTTTCAAGTCTCTGTTTTACGAAAGGTTCTCCAAACAGGTTAAAAAAGACTCATTTTCACGCTCGTGCTCCATTCCCCCAGTCTCAATTTGCATCTGGCTACAGAGGGACCACAGGGCACTCACCTGCGTGGGCGGAGGGGCAGCAAAATACTGCACTTGTGGAGGCACGTGGTGGTGCGTGTGTACATGCGTCATCAACGACTCCTGAGGTAAGACGGCATGAGGCAAGGAAGCCTGCGAGACGGGCAGGTGGTGATGGTGGTGGTGGTGGTGCCCGCCGCAGGCCGGGAGGTGCACGCCACACATGGGGATGTGGCCCATGCTACAGATGGGGATGGCTGGGGGTGGGGGAGGGGGCGGTGCATGGGTTGGACGGCCGCCCCCACCACCCCCGGCACCAGCTCCGCCCCCGCCACCAGCCGTCACGGGGATGGGCGCGTAGGGGCCGCGGTGCAGACTGCAGGTTGCCGGTAGGGTGTGGGCGGTGCACATGGGCACGGCATAGGACGGAACAGAGACAGGGATGGAGATGGGTGCTGTGGTTGGCACCTGCAGAGAAGGACCAGGGTAATGACAGAACAGTTATTATTGAACAACAGTATGATGGGCTGTCTTGAAGGAAATAAAGATACATGTAAGTACATGTCACTGTAACAAGAACAAAGAAGTTTTACAAAACTCAGGTTTGCCTCTGTGTCAGGCTTCATCTTTGTCAAAACTGCTTGTGCAATGTAGGTCTGTAATTTTCAAATTAAATGAGATACTTTGATTTTTAGATCAACAGCATGAACCAATAACTCAATGTTCCAACAGCAATATTATTATTGGCCTACAAAAAAGGCTACATGTACTAACTTCAAAAGTCAGAACAGAAATCAGGTGCAGCCAGAGACAAAACTGAAGCTTTGTGGTAAAAATCCCCCTACACCTTCCCCTAGTTTCGGCAGGCCGTCTTCCTAGGGATGGAAACAACTTATGACGATGCTGATGAACTTTATTTGTAAAGTCTCCAAGGAATGTAGAAGGGTCCTAGATGCCATCAGGCAGACTGTGACACCTGCAGGTCATCATGTCTGACCCTAATCCCGATAACCTACATATGCCAATGCTTGCAAAATTCTGGGTCACTGGCAACTGTCTCAAGATCTGTTTGACGAGTTCCAAGAATGATTGGAAGAAAATGAATCCAGAGAGTTCATCATATCTTACACAATCAAGCCGAATGAGTCTTTTGTTGGGGAATATTATTCTGAGAATTACCGACCTAAAAATTCCATACATCACTTCTTTCTGGAATTTCGACTACCATAACTGTTGAACCACAGGCCGTATCAACACGGAGTTTCTAAGGCAACAAAGTTAAGGCTGCGCTCTTGTCCAATGTCCGATGTACAAAAACCCATTAATTGACCAAAGTCAACAAAAAAATTCATTCTGCTTGATTGCTCTGCACATACTTGACGCTATGCGCTAATCACTACAAGTAAAGCTTGGCAGGCACATGGAACTCTAACTTCCTTGTGACAAGCTCATATTTATAAAGTGCACATTATCTGCCAATGTTTGCGCTCCGGGCAACGGATCATTAATGTCCTCTGCTCTCATCAAGGTCCCCTGATACAATGCCACAGACTAATTTCACATCCAAGAAGGGGACACATCTTGATGCTCAACTGCGATGCAAACAACTTCTTCAAATGCAGTAATTGTTTTTGGCTCTGTTGGTGCTCATTACTTAGGGTTGGAATAACAGAACTGAGGCCGAGGGGTTGTTTTGTGTGTTTTGTTTTGGTTTGTTTTGTTTTTCTCTAGAATATATGATGTTTAGTACTTAATCTGATTTTCTCAAACACAAAACCAAAATACAAATGACAAAAAATCTTTGCTGCACTTCATCCTTTCAAACAAATATAGTCTTAAATAACGCAGCATACTAATAAAACACGTAGAGCGTGTCAACCAATACGCTAGTGCTCAGGGTGTCATATTAATGTTTCCCCTGCTCTGTGGGCCCATAAACATTCGGGAAACCATCTCTGTTTCCTTGGAACTTTGTGCCTCAAATGTAGCTATTTTGGGCACAAAGGGTTTACCAACTTAATAACCATCTCTACCCTTACAAAAAAGCAGCCGGTGGGTACCCCTGGGTCGAGAAAGGCAAGAGGGGGTTTCACTGAGTGAGTAATATGCCTGAGGTCACAATATGCAACTAATTGCTGGATTTCAAAACCTCTGATCAGGAATTAGGGTCGGATCGCACTTCAGGTGATGGAAAAGTGAAGCGGACTTAATGCCATGAAACTTTTGCAGGGAAAGTCGCTTGAGTTGAAATGTGTTCAACTTTTGTAAATTCACAGCATGAACGTTTGATCTGATGCTACAGAATCGTACTTTCACACCGAGTGGAAACCAGCCAGAAAATTCAAAACCACTTCTCAACACATCAAGACCGACCATAAAGAGGACATCTGTTTGGAAGATTCTTGTTTTCTTCATCTGTTACTGACAAGAAGGGGCTGCCTATTTATCACGGGATGTGGTGAACTGGAAGGAGGGACGGGTGGTGAGGTTCTTGGAAGAGGGGAAAGAGAGGACGGATTCGGGGTCCAGAACTTACCATGGCATCACTGCTGAGATCAATGATGATGCGGGGCTGGAAGGGCAGGTGGTGAGAGGGCGGTGGGGGAAGCACAGTGGCGTGGTGCGTCTGCAAGCCAGGTGGGTGGAACGCCCTCCTCTCCCCACCGCTCGCCGCCGGCTGTTGCTGTTGTTGCTGCTGCTGCTGCTGTTGATTGCCTTGGCTGCGGAGCTGTCGCTCTCGCTGCCGTTGGCTCTGTCTCCTCATAGATGGCGGGCTGATGATGAAATCAGGACAGAAATTTCTTGAGCTTTTGCAAACACTCATACTTTTCTGGGACTAGTACTCTCTTTTTTACAAAGAGTGAAACATGTGATGATTTTAAGTGATGACTTTGAGTGAAAATCAACGAGCAGGGTTTGCCCTTAACTTTTTTCTCACTTGCCAGCCGGACCAGCAGTGATGGCTTGTTACTAGTCCGCCAGCATTTTCACTAGTCCTCTTCTTCCCCTATATTTCAAAATTTTTTTGGGGCAGTAGTGTTTTCTGTTCCAACATCATGCATAACGGTGTACACTCCGTGCCGACTGTCGTTAAATTATTTATATTCTTCTTTTTCTTATTATCATTATTTGAATTTATTAAGCGCAAATTCTATTCAAAAATATTCAAATGCGATGTACAACCAATAACAGAAAAATAAATTGGTGTAATATAAAATTTCATTAGAATTCAAAAGACACAGGATCACTAACAACATTAACTTACGATTACACACAGATATTAAAACAAAATAAATTAAGTACACAGATACAACAGGACATTAAAGCTGTCACAAAAAAGTGCAAACCATTAAAATTCGTTAAACTACTGATAAAAACGTATCACAGCTCAAAAGTGATCCTGAACAGATGAGTTTTTAGCACTGCCTTAAAACGGTCTAAACTTGTGGTATTTCACACCTGAACTGGGAGTTGATTCCACAGATATGGGGCAGCATGTAAAAAGGACTGATCACCTAGACAGGTCCTACATGTACTACGAATGGATGGATATCAAAGAAGAATACCGTTACTCTGATCAGAACTACGAAGACAGTAGTGAAACTCAGTACAATCAGTGATGAGCTGTGACAAGTATTCAGGACAGTCACCATGAAGTGCTTTGAAGACTAGAAGTAAGATTTTGAAAACAATTCTAGACTTAACTGGGAGACAGTGAAGATCAACAAAAACAGGTGTAATATGACAATACTTATACATATTACACACAAGCCTAGCACACGCATTTTTAACACACTGAAGACGATTTAAATGTACTGATGATACCCCATACAACAAGCTGTTACAATAATCGAGCTTAGACGTAATAAAAGCATGAATGAGTGTTTCAGTATTGGCATGTGTTATAGATCTAATGTTGTGCAGGAAGTCGAATGTAGACTTACACATTTTAACCACATGATCACTCATGGATCAGTCAAGTTTAAATCAAACCACGCCCCCAAATTCCGTGCAAAAGTGGCAGGTCTAACAAGAGATTCTCCAACCTGAACCCCATCAATCTTAACTTTAGCTAGTTGCTGACGAGTACCTATGACCAAGCATTCTGATTAACTGTCATTAAGGAATAGGCTTCTGCTGGGCTGATGCCAGGGACCGAACTATTCTTTACAAAAGTTACAAAAGGTTCTATTTTATTTGGTTCAAAAACCAGCAGCAGCTAGAGGGCATGCATTCCGATAAACTATTTCGCCCCTTATTTCTGAATGAACTTTTACTAGACTGCCGGACTACCCAGACGAGGGCTTTTGCGAGACCGCCGCAGTTTTTACTTGAATTTGGCTAGCTGACCAACATTAAGGTCGAACCCTGACTAGACTGAAAGACTTTCAAACCATTCTAACAGGAACCTTGTTTGCCAAAGAGGTTTAGAAATACCACCACTGGAAATCTTTTAAGAAGCAATTTTGTCCCCTCACCTTCGTCTGCCGGCCGTTCTCCAGCCGGAGCTATTGCACCAGTCACCAGGACTGTACCGGGCACTCCCCGGGAAGGCCGTCTGCTGTGGGCTCAGGCCGGGCCACTGACCGGCCCCGCCGAGGCTGGTGGACGTCTGCCATGGCCGGACTAGGCTGGGCGGGCTGGGGGACGCGGACAGGTCGACGGCGCCTTGCGACATTCTTCTACGCTTGCGATTCGGGCTCTCACTCTGCAGAAGAGGGGAAACCAAGAATAAAAAACCTTTCATATTAGTTGAAAACAGAATACAACCTATACTAATAAAAACAACAAAAAGTTAAACCACAAAGATCCATGCATGAAAGAAAGCTGTGATTGATTTGTCCCTGTATGGACAAAGATTGAGAGTCTGCACCATGAACCAGGAAAGATATCACTAAAACCTGCCCACTTCAGTTGGAAACAAACCTACAAGTACAATGTGCGAGCTGGATGGCAAGTTTGGTTATTCGACACAATGTATCAGAAAAAGAAGAACGGCAGAGATTATAACCTCTCAGGACAACACAAAATGTTTGCCCAGAATTTTGAAAATACAGGCCTGGAGCAACAACATCTGAACTTGTCAACCAAAAAGAATCAATACCAAGTTAAACGACAGCATTTCTTTCAATTCAGAGTTAGTTTCTGTCCGGAAAATACAGAAACATACATGTACCAGACCAGCAGAAATCTCAACATTTTATCACTAAATAAAATCTCAATGCATGCAGTACATGTACATGTACCTACTCAACTCATACAACACATAGGGGGCGTGTATTGAAAGAAAATGATTCTTTGGACCCCAAACAAGCATGGGCATGCCATTTGCATAGGACACAACCCAACAGAGCAGAGTCTGTTTTCATACCAGTGCCTGAGGGTCAAGAATACTATGTCACACAGTGCAAAGTTGAACAAGGGGTCAGACAAGACTGCAGGAGCCCCCACACATGGCACATGACATTACATTGCATGGGTGTGTGTGCTGCATAATACTATCAACTCGTAGTCTGTACTAGAACACACTTGTATGCATTTTTCTGTTCTTACCGGTATGTTTTCTACTAGGGCATTCAGGGCACGAACTGGGTTTGTGTTGATTTTGAACAACTTTTATCATGAGGCCTATTATTGTCAAACTAAAAGTGGATGCTGGGAAGAACTACAACAGCCACAGATGTTCAGGTGCTTTATCGAGGAGATTACATGTACCGGTACTTTGTACATCAGATGAGGTACAATGTACATGTAGATCTCTGTAGAAAACACCGGCATGCATGCATAAAAGATGTGGATGCGTATTGTGCATGCTCACTTGCATTAAAGGGGCAATGTGTGATTTCAGTTAAGAAATCTGAGAATTTTAGCTCTCGGTCAACAAAGGGGTGGAGTAAAACTCGCTGAACATACACGTGGGATTTCACCTTATGAGAGTGCTACTTATATTAGATGCAACCACCGATACTTTTAAAATTAAATGAACAAGGAGGCATACATGACTAACCCTGCAAGTACATGTACATGTATACCACTGGCCTGTGCCTCTAACCTTGCGTGTACATGTATGGGCAATGTGGATTTATAATGTGCTAATACGTGCCTGCTTGCGCTCTGCGCGGACAATCTGAACCTGTTAACCCTTAAAATGAATGCAACAAAACACCTTACGAATTTACAGGTAGGTAAGAATTTACAGTAGGATCATCACTGATGAAATGATATGACATTCTGAACATTCTGAAATAATACTAATACGTCAATATTTATTCAGAAATAAACAAAAAGAATGACACTTCAGATGCATATTAAGGACACTCCCTAGAAAATGCTTTTTTTTTTTTCAAAGAATCTGAAATCAATATAGTGTACATGTACCGGTATATGCCATTCCGAGCATTTACATCTTCAAAGATGCAATGTGCTCACCCCTCAACAAATAAACAGTGCACAAATTTCGTGGACATCAGAAACATTATTTACCATTTGCTTTTTTCCGTGAGTTCACATCAGGCATCTTTGCCCGTGATGGCGTTCACGCTGCAGTTACTACTCTACGTTTGATTATTGCTTAGATTTCCTGGGTAAAATTCAAATAGCAAATGACACACCTTTACACTCGCATACGTAACAGGGAAAGATGATATCACAAACACAACAACAAAGGAGAATATGTTGACATTGGATTTAGTTCATCCTCCGCTAAACCGGAAAGCGGAGGAAATGTCTTTTAATCTTGGCCTGATGTACTGTGGATTGCGAGTGGAGAACACTTGTCAACCACAAGGATGCGGCACCGGTACCAGCTTGCAACGGACCCAAAATTTCACAGTGACACTGTGTCTCCAGTATCGGTCCTCGTGTGAAACACCACACGCTGGCAGACAAAGGGACGCGTGACAGGCTCCTCCAGGAAAGACGAGATGAGAAGGATGACAAGGACAATGATGATAATGAAAAGGAGAGTAGGGGAGAATTGGCAGCGGAGAGGGATAAAGACTGCATCCCGTAACTAGGAAGCCTAGGGTCCAGGCATCTTGCCTCGGGGCTTAGAGTCAAACTGATAGAGTCTGCTGAAGTGAAGATGGGGGGGGAGGGAGGTGAGACACTACAAATTGAGTCATTCGTGCACAATACCATTATGCAGGCATCGGCGTCACAAGCACAGGGGCTCAAATGTAGGTGAGGAGAGGACATGAAGCTGGCTAAGATCTCCCCTGGGAGAACCACGGCATCGTACGGGAGCGCGCAGCTAATACAATTAGCCCCGGGAATGCCGGCTCCAGTGTGCCGACAAGATGGCTGGCCGTGCAAATCCAAGGGCTTTTCGTTTCTTCCCGTCATATAAGATGCAGTCAATCATGCCTCTCTTTAATTTCCCTCCCTACAGCTGTCCCTCCTTTCCATATCTCCATCCCTTCCCCTGACTCTGTTGTTTATCCTCAGAATGAGCCCAGGATGCCCGATTGCTATGAACTTTCCAGCTTTATCCAACAACGACAGTGAAAAGAAATAACAACGGTCAGAGCAGAGGAGGAGTACTTCAAAGGAAAAGACGGAGGGGGGGTGTGGGACAAAACAAATGCCCAGCCAGCGCAAAGCCCTTCGTGCCTCATACATACTGCATGGCCCTCAAGTGGACTGTGAAAAATGTTTAGCACCCAGGGACAGACGGTCCTGCGGCTCAGAGAGGAGGGGGGGGAATAAAGCTGGTAATTACTGTGGTCCTCCTGGGGTTTGAGGGGGGTGAGATTGTGAGGATTGCATTTATAGTGGCACCGTTTGGCTGTGATACCTTTCCTTCTCTTAGTACGAATTCAATATTGGCGCGATTAGGGATCCTGGATCAATTTCGAGAAACCAGTGGGCAAGAAAAGAGAGCAGAGGACGCTGGAAGGGACAACAGCACAAGAGTCGCTCCTGTAAAACGAGAGTCAGGGAACTCACTGGTGGCACAGGTACATGTACCTACACATCATGAGGACACTCGCTGAATCTCGGTGCTCAACTCTCGACCAACTCATTCTGCGTCCTATAAGCTCATGGGAATTCTCAGACAGTCCAAACTAGGACATTCCTTATTGGGGTACATGTACTTCAGTGGGCTCTCAAAAGGGCACTGCAAAATTTTGACTAGCGCACGACACAAACTGCACTGCGCATGTCTCTGTACAAAGCAGCAAGGAAAGGAATGTACTCGGACAGTGCATACATACATGTACATGCAACCGTCCACATCAACAGTTTTGAGTGGAAGCAGGTCTACATGTAACAACAATGAGTATGACTTAAAGGGGCCCAAGAGATGTACCTACAGCCCATTTCAGACATGGTCTTACAAGAAGGCCCTCCTGGTACATGCACAGAACAAGTACAAATATTTCTTTTTTTACCAGAAACCACCGGTAGGTTACACATCACGGTATATTTTCATTCCAACGTCAGTAAAGGACACACAAGGGTCAGAGTTGAATAGTTCTACTTCTTTTTTTTTTCCCTTTCCTTTTTTTAATAGAAAAATCCCATTTCAGCCTGAGAATATCCTAACATGGGTGTGTCTCATGCTCTATGCTTAGGAGTTTTCAGCCCTGAAAAGCTAGCCCAAATTTTATGTGAAAATCCAATAACAAATGAACAGGGCTTCACAGAAGAGCCTGCATACACATAGCAGTTTCATGAAGATAATTCCTTTGTCAGATTGTCTCACTGAAATGCATCAAGACCAACACAATGCCACGACCCGCCATAATTAACAAGTGTCTCTCCACTTTCGATCCACGTCCCCATTACTGCATAATGTACATTGCACATTACATGTAGTTTAATATCTTTGAATTCAGCCTCCGTCTACTGAAAACTGCCAATAATCCTGGCACCATCCTTCCTAGTAATTTCTGGTCTCCCCCCCCCAACCCAGCGGGCATGGTGCATTCATATGTTGATCAGGGTGAAAAATCCCCAAGGATAAGAGAGGATTTGGATCTGGCAGGTCATGCCTTTATAGTGATGTCTGGATTTAGGATGGCATCCGTCCTGAACATTGTAAAAGGGGGAGAAAAGTGTCCTTGGGTCACAGCACCGAAAGGCAGAAGGGACTATGCAGGAACACAGTTTGGCAGGACCATTCTGAAACATTTTTATAAATGAAGTTTTTATTTGACTGTGACAAAATTGGGGGCAAATTTGGATGACTAAAATGGGATGGGCTGAACAGACAAGTTTGCATAGAGCAGCCATCTTGAAAATTATTTAGTCATTTTTTTTTGGAGGTTACTCTAATTTAGTAATGTTACATGCACACAGCACCTACTTGGGCATTTTCTTGGGAACAAAATAAGTGCACACCTCCCAGATGGATGCCGTGCAGTGTGTCCGCTACAATAGAACCAGCTGTACCAATACTAAACTGCCACCACTTCAAATTCTAAAGTACTAGTAATTTCTAGCCCAGTGTCAAGCTTTTGCCTGGTTGTTGCATCTAAGCCAGTCATCAATGGGAAATCTGCTGAAGGATGCTAAATGCAGTGAAGTGCCAAAAAATGCCACAAAAGGCAGCGATGGATTTTGCAACACTGTCAGACACATACAGTGTAGGATTATTCCAGTCATATATTATCCAACCACCCCCCCCCTTGCCCACTTTTGTAAAATTGTTATTTCAGCAGGGTACACCGTACTGTACTGGTACATGCACAAATGAATGTTTAC